AAAGGAGACATATATAATACTCTTTGTAATACTTTAAGCAATAAAACAAAATTTTAAAAAAAGGATATCATTTGTCAAACAACATAATAACTGATTCATGCAAGGATAATCAATGGATGCTAAATCTATACATGTAATTTTAAGGAGTAACAAAATATTTACAGATACTCAGAGTACCTCCATACAAGATATTTGTGACATACAAAAGTTAAATAGTACCTTTATTGTGGAAACACCTGGCAGACACTTGTAACCACATGCTCACAGTCAACACTGGCAGTAATGGAGCCGAGCACATGCCTACAGATTTGCTGCATGGGAAGAAGTCAGCATCGCTGACATTCCTGCCCACATGGCATAATTTGAAGCTACATGAAGAAACTTCAGACAAACCTAAGTAGAAAGTCTACAAATAACTGGCCTATGCTCTTCAAACTGTAAATGTCATGAAAAGCAAAGGAAGCTGAAAGAACTGTCCCAGATTAAAAGAGACTAAAGAAACAGGACATTGGACATAACACATCATCTTGGATTTACTTGGACTATAAAGGATATTATTCAGACAATAGCAAATATCTGAATAAGATCCAAGACTAAATATTAATACTGACCCAATTTTAATTCCCTGATTTTGATAATTCTACTACAATTATGTAAGATCATTCCTTTTTCTTAGGAAATGCACACTAAAGTATTTAGGAGTAAAAAAGAGGTATGTCTGTAACTTACAAATGGTTCATATATTATATCTAACAAACCTACATTTACATTTATTTAGGTAATAGACAAGAAGGGAGAAAAGATAAAGTAAATGTAAAATGTTAACAATTGGGGAATGGTTTTAGGAATTCTTTGTACTATTCTTGTAACTTTCCTATAAGACTGAAATTTCCAATACAGAATATTTTTAAAAGAAAAATTCTAAAAATAATTTTAACAAATTATAACCCATTAAATGAAATGAACCGTGAGTTCATATTGATAAATGAATAAATCAAAAGTTTAATGAAAAAGAGATACTTACACTGACTCTAAAAACTTCCCTATAAAGCAATAATTGTGAAGTGAAAAAAGAAACATTACAGAGGAGAACCCCAGCAGATACTGCCTTCACTGATCAACATTAACATCCCCAGGAATAGCAAATCAAAATTGTAGGTCCCATCACAGGATGCAATGAGAAGAGTATAGGACTACTTCTGTGATGCTCTTGCTAAAAATGTCTGAACTAAATATTATCATAAGGAAACATCAGAAAAATCCATGATCTGAAATTGAAGTACATTCTACATACATGAGAGGAACTTCCTCTTCAAAAGATTCAAGGTCATGAAAGTCAAGGAAACACTAAGGACCTGTTCCAGACTGAAGGAGAATAGACACCACAGCTCACTGTAACCCATGGATCTGAACAGGGTCTTTATGCTCTAATAGAAGCTACAGACAAGTGGCAAAATTTGAAAAGGATGAGAGGATGAAATTGTGGAATGTATTAGTGTGAATTTTCTGATTGTGAAGGTGGTATGGTAGACAAGTGGAATGTACTAAAGGAATAAGGCATGGTGGCACAGTGTCAATAATTTATTCTCAAATGGTTCAGGGCAACAGAGTTCTTTGTACTAAAACTTGGATCTTTCTGTAATTTTAAGACTCTTTCTAAAAAAATCAATCAATAAATGGAAAAGTAGAAAAGCCTTAGGCAAACTTCATTTCCCACACGAGGAAAGATTTTTAAATCAGTGTTTAAAATTACATCAGTACAATGGCACTATCACAATTTTTATACAGGTAACTAGAAGCCATAGCAGCAGATATCAAAATTATGTCTGTCTAAATCTTTAGGACCAAATATGGTGATAAAATTGGAATGTGTAAAAAAAAATCTATCAACTAGCATCACTAAAGTATGAATGACAAGTTGTTTGTTTGGATTTTGTTTGAACAGTTGGTATTTGGGCAATTTGAGTAAGTATAACTCAATCGTGCTAGCTTTCATTTATAAAATCTGCTTAAAACTTGGTTAGATGCCCCCAAAATACCCCAATTTAAAATACTATATAAATTTTCATCAAACATATGATCAAAAAAATTTTTCTTTAATAAAAAGTTCATGTCATGTGTCTAATGGAAAACAAAATGTTATGTAAACAGTCCAGTAAATAATTTTTTACTGTTTATGTTTCAGATCATGTAATTTTTCATCAAAATCTCTTTATATTCTTGTTGCATTTTCAAAAGTAGATCTTGACATGAACTTGACTGACTGATTGATCCTTCAGGACAAACTCTATAGGATTGAGCTTCAAATTTAGCAGCATCTGGAAAGGAAAAGAATTATATTCATTAAACTACAACTAAGTATAAGTGTTAAGAAGAATAAAGACATCTGTATCTGGATACAATACACAACACAAGAATACTATGAAACATAATTATTAATTCAGTGGTTGCACACTGTATTAATTGGTATCATGGCTCAGTATTAGAGCTTCTGGTTTTCCCCATCCTTCATTCATTTATTCAACACCATGCACTGGGATCAGCGGAGCAGCAAGGCCTCACTGCCCTTCCTCTCTGAAATCAAGAAAAACAATCTCATTGAGATTGTTGCTCACTAAGTGTTGTAGTTCTTATTGTTTGCCATTTGTTTGTGGTACCAGGAAAGTATTGTTGAGTTCCCAGTTTTAGTGACTTTTTTTAGTTAGACAATTCACTATGTAAAAACAGGTTTTCAGCCCTAACCGATTTGGCTCAAAGGATAGAGCGTCGGCCTGCAGACATAAGGGTCCCAGATTCGATTCCGGTCAAGGGCATATACCTCAGTTGCGGGCACATACCCAGTAGGGAGTGTGCAGGAGGCAGCTGATCGATGTTTCTCTCTCATTGATATTTCTAACTCTCTATCCCTCTCACTTCCTCTCTGTGAAAAATCAATAAAATATATATTTTTTTAAATTTAAAAAAAAAAACAGGTTTTCATTTACTAAATGTAATCCACTGGCTTTAAAAACTAAAGTTCCATTTTTTAGAACAAGTCCAATTTGTTACAATGTGAATATAAAGGAAACATACAACATCCTAACTTAAAGTCATTTTTCTTTTTTACATAAAGATATCATATAGGATTTTAGGGGTCAGGACTTAATAAATGAACCTCTTTTCAAACAATATTGCCCCAGATTTTAAAATTTCCTATAATTAACTGTTTTAATAATAGTGAATACTATTCGATTAAGAAAGAGATTAAGAAAAAAAAGAAAGAGATTAAGAAAAACTATACATGCAACTTATAATTGTTTGGTGGGTTTTTATTGCTCTTTCATTAGCAAAACTTTCTCTTAATTCATCTATGGTAGAACCACCAAGAGTAATTCATTATCAGAAGTCTTACCAAGATTGCTACCTTCAGAAGATCTTATAGTCTTTCTTCTTTATATTCCAAAGTTAGTTGTTGCTTGCTATCAATTAAAAAAATGGTGATAAATAATATTACTATGTTAATACAAACATAAAAATATTTCACAAATATTGTAAATTCTTAGAATATTTCAGATAACATAAGTCAATATTAAAACTTTAATTCTACTATACACTTCAAATTTGTAAGTTCTACAAACTTCTTATGAAGCTATGTAATTTTTTAAAACAAAACACAAAACAGTCATGATTTGAGGGCAATATAGTTTGGTGAATTAATTAGAGTTAGTTTGACATATGGCAAGTCTCTTGAACTCAGACATCCCTGTTCTATAATCAACAGCTATTTGTTCTCAAACAAGTCATTTTTCTGTGGCTCAAGGTCCTCCTCTACAAAATAATGGTCTTACTGCCTTACTTTAAAGGTTGTTTGGAGAATTAAATGAGATAATACAGCAAAAAGAGATGCTTGGAGAAACAGCAAGGCAAAGGAAAACTCTCATCATGAGCTTTATTTTTTGAAACTAATTTAGAATCCCAATGAAATCCCAATGTGGGTTTTTCATAGTTTCTAACATTCAAATGTTGCAGTTCTCAGAAAATATTAACTAGAGGCCCAGTGTACAAAAATTTTTGCACTCGTGGGGCTGGGGGGTGGGGTGGCCCATCAGCCCAGCCAGTGCCCTATCGCAGTTCAGGAGCCCTTGGGGGATGTCCGACTATCTGGTTCACTCACACTGTGAACCAGCAGATCTTTAAGGATGGCAGTCGGACATCCTTAGTGCTGCCGGGGAGGTAGGAGAGGCTCCTGCCACTGCCACTGTGCTTGCTAGCTGTGAGCCCAGCTCGGGGCTTCTGGCTGAGTGGTGCTCCCCCTGTGGGAGCGCACTGACCACCAGGGAAAAGCTCCTGTGTTAAGCTTCTGCGCCCTGGTGGTCATTGTGCATCATAGTGATAGGTCATTCCACCATTTGGTTGATTTGCATATTAGCCTTTTATTATATAGGATGGAACTACCTGACAGTCAATGTGCCCCACTGAGGGGTCCCGGATTGAGGGAGGGCACAGGCCAGGCTGAGGGACCCCACTGGGGCACAATCAGAGACGGGGAGGGAAGCGGTGGGGAGGGACCGCAGGAGCTCCAGGGCATGTCCGGCCCATCTCGTTCAGTCACTATCAGCTGGACTCCAGCAGCAAGCTAACCTACCAGTCAGAGCGTCTGCCCTCTGGTGGTCAGTGTACATCATAGTGAACAGTTGAGCAGCCTTAGCATATTATGCTTTGATTGGTTGAACAGACGACCGGACAACAAGACACTTAGCATATTAGGGTTTTATTATATAGAATTTTAGTTATTACCTATTCTTTCTCTGTGGTTTGTAATTCAGGGTGTCTCAGCTACTATATAACTTGCAACTAAATGTATGTACAAATACATTACCTCATGAAGTCAGATAACACAATGCTCCCTTATTTTTGTTGTGAATCATGCCGACCGCAGAAAACTAATAGAAGTCAGGACGTGGCCTGGACCACTACTATCCCTTCCCTATCTACTCACACTGTGAACCAGCAGATCTTTATGAGAATGATGCTTAATATCCCTGTCCACACCCAATTGGCTTGGATGGTAGAATCCTACTTGTCACTCATGGATATTGATGAGTCATGAATGGGGCCTTAGCAATTGTAAGAACCAATAACCTACTTTTGAATCAGAGCTTTCTAACTGGCTTCCATGTGAGACATAATTTAAAATATTTTGAAACCTGAGGTAAATTAACTCACTTGGGAATCTTTCATTCTTATGGCAAAGAGATCCTTTGAGGGGCCAACCTCAATTATGGAGTCTCAGGCAGGCTGCTGCCTACTTCTCTGGGAAAGGCAACATGGGACCTTCCATTACCTAAACAAAGATGTTCTAGTGTCCTTGGGGGGCAGATCTGGTAACAAAGGAGAAAGTCTGGTCTTTTCCTGCAGCTTTATTTCAGTCTCTCTGACAGCTTAGAATAGTTCCAACTAACATTTGCTTTGATCCTAAGCCCTTCATTGTTTCACTGGCCCCAGCTTTAATAAATGTACCCTCCAAATATAAAACAAGGAATGAACAATTGTACTTTTCCATGTGATCGACTTTTGAAGCTCTAGTTACTAAAAATTCCACCATTTTCTCTTTGTTGTCATATTTAGCAAGTGAAAGTGGTGTGAAGTCATCCTGTATAAACAGAAAAAGTTTATAATTTATTAAATTATATATATACAAACTGAATAACAAAACTTATAAAAGGTCCTCTGAACTTACACATATAATATAGAAAGTAAATAAAAAGTAGCCCCCTTTGCCCTGGCTAGTGTTCTCACTGGTTAGAGCATTGGCCTGCTCATGGAAGGGTCCAGGTTTGATTCCCATTCAAGAGATTGTACCTGGGTTGCAGATTTGGTCCCCAGCCCTGGTCTGGGTCTATGCAGGAGGCACCCACACATTAATGTTTCTCTCTCTCACCCCTCATCCTTCGCTCCCTTCCACTTTCTCTAAAATCAATGGAGGAGGGGAAATACTCTGGTGAGGAGGAAAAAAAATAAAAGGATTCCCTTTTTTCTCACCCCTGTGCAGTCACTGACTGTTCTTCCCTTTAAAATGCCCTCCACTGCCTCTTCAACAGATTAACTGCAGCACCCTTCTCCAAATCTCACTTCCAACATTTACAGTACGGGTTCCCAGAATCTGTGTTCCTATCGTGGTATCCTGTTGCTATTTTGTTGCCTGTGGACTGGGGCTTCCTCTTCCCTCTTGCACTCACCCAGCTCCCCTTGCTGGGTACTAGGCCTCCTCCTCCCACCCATCCCCAGCAGCACCATTTCCTAAGCCCCTGCCAGCACAGCAGCCAGTCCCCAGCATCACTTCACTCCCCCAGGCCTTCAGTCCTTAGTGGGCTCTGAGCCTATCTCCCACTCCCAGGCACTAACAGGAAGTTCTTCCTTCTGGGGTGGAAGGGTAGCTGGGAGGCAGAGCTTTGCCCCTTCCATGGACACCACATTTCTCCAGCCCTCCCTAATTGGGCTTTGGAGTTGTTTCCATGGTGACAGGGCCTGATCTATTGTATTTAGTGTATGCATGTGAGAAAGAAAATGCTTGTGCAAAAGAAAGAGAGAGAGAGAGAGAGAGAGAGAGAGAGAGAGAGAGAGAGAAAGGAAGGAAGGAAG